TTGTGCAACGCGTTCGATATCGACAGCGTTAAGTATTTACATAGCAGACTGAAAATACTTACGTTTAAATACCAACTTTACAAAAACCAGTCTGCACTTACCCCATTTCACCTTAATACAATAATTTGAAGTAAGCATTTTTTAACTGATTATATAATATGACACGTGTGACGTATAAACATAGTGAAACAAACAATACTGGAAATTATTAGCAGAGAAATAATAACCTCAAGAATATTTATTTAACTTCTTAATTAAGTTTTAAAGTTACTGTCAAATTACCTTCGAGTGCAAGGGGTTAAGTTTCTAACCTAACTTTTTAATTTTCCACTGTTTGCAATCAGTCAAATTACCTTCGAGTGCAAAGGATAAAAAAGAAATACAAACTTTCCAAAATAATTTGTCTGAAAGTATAATGGACTACAGTACCAATGAAATCAACAATCCCTGAAATACTTTGTCATTAAATTTACGAATTTTACATTTATAATATTTTGCAAACAATTAATATTTTTATATTACGTTTTACTACAATTTTTATGTAAAATATTTTATAGAATTGACTAGTGTAAAAAGAAATGTGTAATTCTGTGTAAAACATATTTAGAAAATAATTTATGTACATTATAAAATGTTCTTGACAAAACAGGGTTAATTTAATTTCAATATTTCTTTAAATAATATACACTTTATATTAAATTTTATTAAATATAAAGTATATTATATACATTAATTTACTTAAAATGAAACATCCTGTATAATTATGTGGTCAAAATAGGCAAAAATTATTATCTGACAAAATTCAGATTATTTTTCTGTTATAAAAATAATTTATATTTAAAATTAACTTTTTAAATATTTTTTACAACTTTTTTGGATGGCTTAGAATATTGTCAGTTACAAGAATTGTTTATTGTTATAGTTCAATTCGTGACTATAGTATACTGATAGTTTGTTGTACTTTGTTAGAACGTTAAATTGAGAAAATTTTCAAATGTTTAAAGTTGGCAATTTGAAATTTTGAAAATTTAGAGACGAATATTGGTCGTTTGCAAATTTTGAAGTTTGGGAATTTAGAGAGTTGTAGACTTAGAAGCTTAGGAAATTAAATATTTAGAAATTTGGAAATTTAAAAATTCAATAAATTGACAATATAACAGTTTGATAATTTCATAATTTAATAATTTGACATTATGGAACTTAGAAATTTTTGAGATTTAAAGATACTAAAAATTTGGAAATTTGGCAGTTTCAGAATTTAAATTTTAAAAATTTGGAAATTTGAAAATTTATTAATCTGAGAATTGGTCAATTGAAGATTTGAAAATTTGGAAATCTATTAACATCACAATTTTAAAATTTTAAAAATTTGAAATCTTGGAAAATTGGAATTTTAGAAAATTGCAAATTTGGGAATTTGCAAATATAGTAATATGGAAATTTGACAGTTTGACAATTTGAAGTTTTGGAAATTTAGAAATTTGGAAGTTTGGGAATTTGGGAATTTGGGAATTTTGAAATTTTGAAATTTTGAAATTTGGGAATTTGGGAATTTGGAAATTCGGAAATTTAGAAATTTAAAAATGTAGTAATCTTGGAATTAACCAGTTGCAAATTTGAAAATTCAGAAATTTAGTAATCTTGGAACTGATTAATTACAAATTTATAAATTTTGTAATTTCATAATCTGGGAATTAGTCATTTGCAAACTTAAAAAGTTAGTAATTTGTTAATTTGAAAATTTGAAGAATTAACAATTTGACAATTTAAAATTTTACAAATTTAAGAATTCCCAAATTTAGAAATTTAGTAGTTGGATAGTTTCAAATTTTGGAAATTATAAATTTCGAAATTCAGTAATTTGGAGAATTGCTCATCTATAAATTTGAAAATTTAGTAATTTTGAAATTTAGAAATTTAAAAATTTTACAAATCTAAAAATTCAATACTTGAAAAACCAAAAAACACCTAAAATCTTAAAAATTCAAAAATTCAAATTTCTAGTCTTGCAAATTCAAAATTGAAAAACTGCTTAGATTTACATAACTACCCTTTATATCCCATATTTCACCCCAAAGTAACCCACCCAGACTGTACATCGTTACGTTAACTTCGTACTCATAACCATGTCCATAAATGATCGAGAGATTCTCTGAACGCAACCTGAAGTGTCGCGACGTTAAAATATTTGGAACTAGACGATGTCGCATCACATATTCGGGCAACAGCGGACAAGGACCGTCGCTGTTCTTCAAATCCAAAAATACCATCGTCTATATTTGCGTCTAAGGTGGATTCATATTTTGGTGGGCCACGCTGCTGGACATGAATTAGTGTGGTCGTTATATTTGGACGGTGTGCATCAAATGAGGGAAGCGTCAGAAAGAGAGAAGAAGAGAGTACTCCTTCGAAGAGAGAAAGAGAGAAAACGTGGGCGAATCGAGATCACAAGTTAGAATCAGGCCGAGGAAAATAGCGATTCGCGTTCGGCTTGCGTTCGGTTCATCACATCCTTTTATCCTCTTTCTTTACTTTCTCTTTGCTCCTCTTTCATTCCTTCCGTTTCTCTTTACTTATCTCTTGTTATTTTCCTTCTATGCTCCCCTCTACCTCCCCTGTCGAAAAAACATCTTCGGTTACGAAACATTTTATTATAATGCATGAATGAGCACTTTCAACAATGAGCGTCTTCACTGCCACCAAGCAGCTGATGCTTTCGGGAAACGAGCCCGAAAACAATGGTTGGTCCATGGTGTGTTGATCGTTACAGACCTTTGATTTTGACCGATTTTTTAAATTTTCAGGTGAGTACAGGGTAGGAATGAAGTTCAACGATCAACATATACCCGATTCGCCGCACAAGGTTTATATATCGCCGGCGATGGGCGATGCCCATAAGCTCGAGGTGGCGCAATTTCCGGAGACCGATGTGCAGCCCGACAAACCGGCAACCTTCCTCGTTCGTAAAAATGGCGCCAAGGGTGAATTAGACGCGAAGGTAACATTCATTTTCTCTTTCAAACTTATTTTCGTTGTCGAGTTTGAACTTTCAAACACTCATTCAAGTTTTTATTTACTACATGGTATTGTATTGTTGTTTTGTAGGGTTAGGTAGCCTTTATGGTTAGGTTAGGTATTGGTTTTTAGGTTGGGTTAGTTCGATTTTCAGGTTAGGTTTTAATATAGTTTTCGTTATAGTACATTGAGCTTAGGGATGTGTATTACTTCCTGTTTTAGGTTTAGCATGGTATCGGTTTTCAGGTTATTAAGTTAGGTTAGTTTGATTATTAGGGTAAGCTTTAGTATAGTTTTTGTTACAAGACAATGACCTCAGGTATTTGTATTACATCTTGTTTTATTTATTGAATTTTAGATTGCTAGTTTAGGTTAGTTTGATTATTGAGTTCGATTTTTGTATAGTTTTTATTATGATACACTAAACTCAAGAATTTGTACTATTATCCTGTAGGGTTTAGTAACTCTACTTTAGTATTAAGTTATACATTAGTTTTTAGGTTTTGTTTTAGTACATTTTTTATTATGATACATTCATCCTAGGAATATATTATCGCCCCATTTAGGTTACTGAATTAAGTTAGTTCAATTATCAGATTACATTTTGGTATATTTTTTGTTATGATACACTGATCTCACAGATGTGTATTACGTCCTCTTTTAGGGTTAGGTTATAGTTGCTTTTTAAGTTATTAGGTTAGGTTAGTTTGGTTATGAAGTTAGGTTTTGTTATATTGAATGAAAGATCAGGATATTTGGAAAGCCGTAACGTACATTTTACAATGGTGTTCTTGTGAATTGAAATCTTCTCAATCGACGCCTCGTTTCTGAGTTGATATTTTAGAAACTTGCTTTCCAAACTGTATTTCAAACTGATATTTTTAGTACGATGCAAAGTGTGTCAAGTGCAAATACGACTATGAATGTAACAATGTAGATGCAACTTGAGCGAATTGTAGCAAATATAAAGGATTGTCAGCATTGATCTTGAAATTTCAATAATTTGAAACTTGAAAAGGAGCGATTACTTAACTTAAAATAAGCATTAATAATGAATATTTCTTAACTCAGAATAATAAACATAAGAACAAAAGATGTAGAGAAGTAAACGAAGAGAAATTATACTGAAAATTAAATTTACTTGTTTGTATATTTTCTTATGCATTAAAAATATGCAAAACTCTTTATCTCAAATTTTAGTAGAATTTATTAACTAATTAAATTTAATAACACTCGATGTTCCATCTCAGAAAAACATCTGCAAATGTCCACATTTTTTAAATGTGTAATATTACACAGTTGGGTCTGAAAGTGTTCATAAAGAAAATACACTAAAAAACGATAGTAACATTACTAATAATAAAATTCATGAAAGGAAGTCAATATTCCATTACCCTTACGTATTTTTTAAATATTTATATTTCATGAAAATTGTATATGATATACAGTTCTACAACTCCTAAATGATTCCCCACATAATTATCTGTCTATACATTGCCTAATTCCCCATAAAATTTCTAGCCTGTTATATTGATACTTGAATTACACATTTAAGCGAAACATCTTGTATATCTTAGTGTCATGACATTAATTGATGTTGCTTTCTAGGGACTTAATTTACGACTTCGTTTTATCTTGACTCAACTATAACTATTATGCCGAATTTACACGAATGTCGTGAATATATTTTCCTTGTTATCTAATGATAACATACTGTATGTTTACATTGTTGACTTATGACAGTGTATGGTGTATATACCTCATTATTTTATGAAAATGTACGGTGTGTTTACTGTTTGATCTTATAATAATAAGATTCATCTTCTAACAACATTTATGTTGAACATATTTAACCTTATTCAAGATTAGTAGGGTTATTATAATTTATTGCATTCGTACAAATTTAATTATATATTTAACTTGACCTCTTTAAGGATACCGAAATTGTATATGTGTACGTTTTTTAATTTATCAATAAATGAATAGTCTTTTTTTTTAGTATATTAATACTTTTTGAAATTTTTATTTACTGTAATTACTTTTTGATGTTCTTTTTATTTACTAAAATTGCTATACGATGTACTTTTTATTTATTATAATTGTTATATGATATACTTTTCATTTATTATAATTGCTATATGATGTTCTTTTTATTTCTTATAATTGCTATTTGGAATTCATTTTATTTACTATAATAGCTCACATTATTTTATTTATACTTTTAAAACAGTTATCCCAAAGAAATTCAAATAGTTTGAACTCAAGTGATGTGATTTCGAGTAAATACCTAAAATAGCGTACGACGGAAGTAACCTCTTCGTCATTACGCTTATTTTTAATCGTGTTTAGGTTAGAATAACTTTTACTCTTCTGTCATTGCACACCGCTCGAAATATATTCTAACAAAAGTATAAGAAACATGTTGAATTATCGTCGGACATCCGGAATTCTTTAATGAAATTTTTTCAAGAGCCTTCATCTTTCTTGGAAACCTCCGCAGTTTTAGTAACAGAGTCCTTGCGAAAAGCGGACGCTGTAAATAACTTCCTCTTGTGAAACAACGATGCTGTGTCATACTGCGTGGGTTTTCGCCACATGTTGCCAGTCACATAATCGAATGATTCATTTCGACGATTTCAAATAACTTTTGTAGGAAAACAACTGTTAAACCAAAATTTTTCGGTTGCATCAAATGAAGCACATGAGCAAAGTAATACTTCCAGCAAAAGGAACTTAAAATAACTGTTCTTTCTTAAGTAATAATGAATCAACATTTACGTAAGGTGTTGGAATATACAAAAATCAATCCCACGTTATTTCTTTCATAGTTTATTTAAAGTCAAGGAATAAACATCCTGTTTAATTAGAAACTCGACGAACTGCGTTGTTCAAGACGGTCCTTCTAATGTAAGCATGCTAAGATATACAAAAGTATATCGAGGGTTCAAATCGGGTCAGAGTCGGGTTAGAGTCGGGTTGGGATGAGCGCTTTTACGGTGGAAACACCAAAGGTTTAGTTGAACTCTACCCTACAAAATTTTAGGGTAGCGTTCAATTGGGTTCGGTGGAAACGACAAGAGTCGAGTTCGTGTTGCCAACATAACAAATCCAAATTGCATTGTGTATCACGTGCTGTATTAATCGGTGTAGAAGAGGTTATTATTACTTTTTGTCGGTGATCTTGTAACTTGAGAAATAATTTTTGTATGTTATTTTGATATTGTAAAATTAATATTGCTCAGCTTTACATGTCAGAATATGGTAGTTGACTTTGTGCAGTTGGTAATGTTCAACCCTGCCGCAACTCCAACCCGCGACTCAAACCCGACTCTAACCCGACTCTGATCCGATTTGAACCCTCGATGGAAACTTAGTAGATGAAGCGTGGGACCTCTCGAGCACGAGAAAAAACGGTCCGAGGACTAGTCTGAATAGCGCACGTCTTAAGAACGCATCTCGTAAAAGAATATATAAAGAGTTCACTGTTTCATTTTCAAATTTTAAATTTAACAACTGTGTTTTATTTAAATAGCACCTTGCTTCCAAATCCCAATATAAGGTGTTAACAAAAAATTTAATTTTTACATGATACATAAAATACATTGAATGAAAGCCTTAATTAATATACTTTATTTAGTGACATATGATATGATATGATATAATATTTTTGAAAAATAAATCCTTGTATCACTTAGAAAGCTTATTTTTTCACTAGATAAATTTTTTCTTTTTTTTTATGCAATACATTTTTTAATATTCTTCATAGCAATTCATACAGGATGGTACATTCTTCATGGTCACCATAGGTAGATTTACTAGTTACTTTGATGATAGCAATCATATACTGTCACACTGCTGGTGGATTTTGATAATTAATTCTTTCAGTATTATTAGTTCCAAGAATTTTCCATTTGCATAACTATGTGGCAATATAACGCAAAATGTACTGTATATTTACAATTCTTAACTGAATATAGACTTCTTTTTATTAGAAAAAATATATGAGCATAGGTTAGGTTCCATCTAGCTTTCTTATGTATAGGTTATACTCTCTTTAGATTTCTTATGTCTAGGTTAGGTTTACTCTAGATATCTGGTATCTAGGTTAGGTTTCCGTTCTTTGTATTTAACTTAAACTCCTAATTTTATTCTAGACTCTTCTTAGATCTTTCATTACAAAGATCTTCCATTTTAGTTTCTTCCCTATGTTCAAATTCTTTCTAAGCTTTCCTCAAATCTAAATTCCTAAATCTCCTAGAACTCCTAAATCTTTCCTATATTTCTCCCTAGATTCTCCATAGACCCTCCTTAATCTCTTCCTAACCTCTCCCTAACCTTCTCCTAACCTTAATTTCTTCCTAAAATGCCCTGAAAATAACCTATTAACATATACATATACTATCAATCTCAACCTCAACCTAAGATCAAACATATACTATCCAAACCTTAGTATCACGAAAATGCTTACACTATTTCCATTTTGCAGATCGTATCACCAAGCGGAGTAGAGGATGATTGCTTCATTGAGTCCATCGACACCGACACGTACTCTGTGCGATTTATGGCGCGAGAAAATGGCATTCACAATATTCACGTGAAGTTCAATGGCGTTCACATAACTGGCAGTCCCTTCCGTATCAAAGTGGGAAAAGTCGATGCCGATCCAGCTGCGATAAACGCCTTTGGAAATGGTTTGAAGGAAATCAAAACTGGCCAGAAAACGGACTTCATCATCGACACTTGTAACGCCGGAAGTGGAGCACTTAATGTGACCATAGATGGCCCAAGTAAAGTTGCGATGGACTGTACGGAAGTTGAAGAGGGTTATAAAGTCAGGTACACGCCTTTGGTACCTGGTGATTATTACATCAGTATCAAGTATAATGGATACCACATCGTTGGTTCACCGTTTAAGGTTCCATGTACTGGTTAGTATTGTTATCAAAATGAAGAGGTTTATATATAATATCCGGTAACATACTGAATTATGTACAGGATGTTTAGAATGATGTACAGGATGGTTTAATTGAAAGAGGACATTTATGAAAATTACATGCAAATGGATTATTATATGAATTGTAATTACAAAGTATTTCATGGTGAACTACACAAATTATAACTACAACATAATTCATGATAAATTACATGTATTATAATATAATATATAATTTATGATGAACTACGTAAATTATAATTATAAAATGATTCATGATGAATTATATGAATTATAATTACAAAGTTTTACATAATAATTTTTTTTATTGATAAAATATTGTTTCGTGCCTTAAAATGCTTTTTAAATTACATCCAAGTACAATTATAGAAAATCTCGACTTGATTATGGCTCTCAAGTGTACACAGCATACATAATACTATTTTATTATATTTTTATCTAAATACATAATGCATAGATGTGTATAAGTAATTTCAATAAGCTTCTGTTTTTCAAATTTGTCAAAGAAATCACACAGAATTTATTATAAAAAGATGATGTAATAATCTCATCAATTTTAATTGTAGGTCAGGATCTAGCAGAAAGAGGCGCACAAGAATCAAGTTCAATCCTCGTCGAAACTGTTCAAAAGGTTTCAAAGTCGAAACAAACCGGGCCAGTTTTACCCCTGTTCAAATCTGATGCTAGCAAAGTTACAAGCAAAGGAATGGGTCTAAAGAAAGCATACTTAGGAAAACAGAATCAGTTCACTGTTAATTGTAGCGATGCCGGTAAAGTATTTTTAATAATATACTTCTATAAGTAAACTATTAAATATATTTCTTCCCATTTTGATTAAAATCTATTGTTACATTTTTATTCAAAAATTTTATTATTATTCATGAGTAATTTCTAAATTTATATTTTTATCTTAGTAGCAAATTACTTTTTGCACTGAATTTCATAAGAAACCTCAAGTGTTTCTATAGTAAATTTCAAGGTCTATAAAAATTGTAAGGTCTAACCTAATCTAACACATAATATTGATTGTGGAAATTTTTGAAATAAAGAATAATAAATATAGTCATAGAATCATATTCTTGAAGCTAGGTACTTTATATTAACAACATTATATTAAAAATAATATTAAAAGACATAATCAATTCAGTGTTTTGTTAAGCTAGACATAGAACAAACTTCATAATTTTAAGGTTAGAAACTATAAAATATTAAGTAATTTTTTAATTATAAATTTGGCAATGTAAATTTACTAAATACCCTATACTAAGTCCATTGTTTTAATTGCAGAAGCAACCACACAAACCAATATCTTGTATTAAATTAGGTGGCCTAATAATTTCTGAATTTAACTTTACAAATGTCTATTTTGTCCTATTGTGTTATCTCTTATGTTATCAATAATGAATAACAAACTTTTGAATCCTTGTTATTGAAATATGTGAACGTAGGAGAGTCCTTAATAATTTGTTTTTTGTACAGGCCAGAACATTTTGTACGTTGGTGTGTATGGACCTAAAGGACCGTGCGACGAGGTGTTTGTGAAGCACACGGGACGCAATAATTACACCGTAAATTATATGGTTCGAGAACGAGGAGAATACATAGTTATCGTAAAGTGGGGTGATGACCATATTCCTGGGTCGCCGTACAAGGTCGAAGTGTAAACGAAAACGTTTCTGCGAAGAGAAACAACAAAACGAAATACTGTGGCCAAACTCTTGATGATCATCCGTTATAGCATCTATTTATTTTAAACATTAGCTGAATAAAATGTATTCTTATATGATGGAACGCGTGCGACACAAACATTACATACACGATGTTTCATCACAAAAATTCGTCTTCCTGTAATTAAAAATCATTTTATCAAGTTCGATCGGAAGTTGGTACGTCCTCTTCCAAAAATTAACTGCTCGTACAATTTTTCACTTTTATTCTGAGATCTTTTACTGTGTCAATTATGGTTCTAGTGAAAAATGAGAGAAAAAAAATAAATAAGAACCATATAAATATGAAACTATGAATGCTGAAACGATGGAAGTAAAAGTATGAATTGTTTTACCACTATTTACTTTATTATTGTGTGTTACATTGAGAGGAATTTGAACATTCAAGATACTAGTCGAAGTACAAATAAGCTTCTTCCGTAGAATAGCACTTTAGACGCGAGTTTCAAGCTTTGTCAGTTGTGTCTATATCTGTCCCCATAGCTTATATTGTCCTCATCTAACATTTAATCGCCTGACGTACAACGACAGCAACGAAACCACGTTATTTAATAGATTAAAATATGTGTTTCATTAAACTGTAAATACTTTTAGGAAAGTTTTGTTATGATAATTGAAAAATAGTGGCCACTTATCTTTTATTTTTATTTGAAAGCAAATACCATCAATGCTATCATTTGAGTATTAGTTCTAAGCACTAGGAATATTTTTCTTTAAAAAGAATAATTCTGTGATATGGTGTTATATGTATCTTTTAATTAAAATAACCTAAATGTTTTAGAAAATTATTCTGAAAGACACGTTCCTAAATAAAACACACATATCTGAAATACTCACTACATATGAGATTTGTTACACATATATTAACTATGTTAACTGTTATACGAGTTCTAGTAATTCATATCAATATAACTAAATATGTATTTATGTGATTAGTATTGAAAAGGAATTTTAAGCCTAAACAAGTGTTCAAGACCGTGTGTTTAATTAGTTAACGCGTTAAAAGTACTTGAGCAATCATAACAAAATAACTCATTTTCAAAAAAGTGTTAATGGTTGAATCAAACACATATTTCAATAAAAATGTAGCAAAAACATAAAATGTAGAATATATATGTAACCTCGTTGTCATTGTTAATAATGTAGCCAGTGTATCCGTGTTCATCGGGTGACTAAATATTAGACCAACATGAAAATGATATAAATAAGTTCATAAGTCAGGAGGACAAATAAGTCAATTACTTGTGTTTGAAAAACTATGAAAAAAAAAACAATACCAACTGTGCCTTCCATTCTAGTTTCAGATAAATTTATTATTCTATTAAAATGTGCTCTAAGTGTACTGTTAGTCTCTCTACTGCGTGATATGTCACTTTAATGTAATTATATTGAAAAAAAGTGCAAACTAAAAGCATCGATTATTATAAAACATACAAGAAATGAAATAAACAATATGTTTATTAATGACTCATCGAGTGTGCTTTTTCTTCTTATGAGAAATTTTTATTTTATTTTATAAATTCAGTTAATAATGTTAATATAATCCTAGTATATTAATGGCAAGAATTCAGAAATGTTTAGCAAATATTTTATAAATAAATAACAGTAATTTATTTTTAGGTTCTGACAGCAAAATTTTGAACTCAAATCTGAAATAAAGTTAGGATATATAATTATATGATTAAAAATATTGAAAAGCAGTAATATAAGATTTTGTATTTAAAATATTTATGAAATTGTCATGTTTTAAGTCTGGGAAGTTTTGTAATATATGAATTTACAAGTTAAAGAGATTAATGAAGTTAGGAAGGAATTGTAAGGAAATAATTTATAAAACGTTCAAACTGAAGGCAGGAAATTATGTCCATTTTTATCTGTTGGTAATTCTAACTTTGCATAAAGAAGTTCCATATTTTTGGCCAGGGATGTATTAATCTTTACACTACATGTTACTCAGGAATAAGAATTAAAATTGAATTATAATAAAATTTATCAGTGCATAGAAAACATAAAATTTGGAAATAATTATTTTTTATCAATTTTTGGAAATAATATTGATAACCTGCTATTTATTGGATCTACATATATGTTTATAAATTATGCAACAAAAATGAGCAATTAATTCATTATTATAATATTTACTATTGTACATAAATAGTTGTATTATTTCACTTTTATAATTTCTAAAAGAAATCATCTAACTGATTTCTCAAATTGTTTAATTTGAATTCTGTTCCTTAATATTCAGTTCTGAAATATCACATGCATCATCTGAGAACATTTTATTTTTAAATGAATCCAAAGATTTTAAAATCATATTACAGTAAATATCTGTCAAATTAACATCAGTAGCAATAATAATATTGTAACAATATCTTTCTGATATCATCAACGCAGAGGAATTATCTGATAATTTGCAAAATATTTAAATATTATTCAAACCTAAATGAATATACACTCACTGTAGTAATTAAGAGACGAAAGTTTCCCGTGAAAAGTGTTTGCTATCGTGCATTGCCATCTGTAATCCAGACTGATGTAAACAAGGTGTCGTCAAAGCTGAAGGTACAAACAAATGAAAGCTTGAACGGTAGGCTGATTCTTGTTGAATAAATTAGCGTCGAACAGGAAGAACACGATCCGTAACTTGTCATCGTTAGGTGTATCGCACCTGTAACCATGAATAATCACGCAGGTGCCTGTTATCGCAAGGGGTGAGAAATTTATGGCAACCCGTTTGTGCATCGCGTGTATAATTTCAAATAATTATGCTCTAAATGATGTACCAAGAACAATGAAACGCGAATCGGTGTATCTTTCTGTAACGTTATACAGAATGAATGATAAAAATGCACTGAATAGTAAAAAGACTTTGCTGTAAAAAGTAAAATGTAGTAAAAGTAAACTGTAGACTTGTTTGTCTTTTTATAGGAAATATAAATTTAATGTAATTTGAAATTAATTTTGAGATGATGTCAGATTGCAAATTATTATGAGGGACTTGGTCAAGATTTAATTTTAAATTGATGTAGTCATTTTTGACATATTGAAAGTGTGCTAGTATTCACAGAAATGGTGAACAATATTAGGTGAATTATTTATATTTATTTTTGTCTAATTAATTTTAGATAAATTTGAAAAATAGAAAATGTAGTATTGTTATACACTTTATTTGAAAATTATTTATTAACTCATACTAATCATTACTAATTTAGTAAGTAATAGGAATAGCAAGTTACTAATTTACTAATAACATATTTCAATTATTCAAATATTAAATTATAGACTAATTAGTTAATAAAATCAATTGTTATACTTTTTATCTGAGCATCCAGAGTACAAGATTTATTTAATTTTTACAAAAAGGAGGTCTTTCTGTGGAAACTTTAAAATTAGATAAATCTTGAGAAAAAATAGCAAACAATTTTAAATATTATTTTAGTGTAAACAGTATAAATAGAAAAAAGACTTTTAATGATAGCAAAGGGTAGAGTTCCAAAAGTAATTGAAATTTTAATTAGTATACCCTTATATTATTATTACTGAAATTATTAGTTAATTAACCCAAGACAGAAACTTGTAAATATTTATATTTTAATCTTCAGTTACTAACAAAACATTCCCAATAGTTTTACTGTATATCCCAGTTTACTTCATTTAATTCTAAACTCTCAGATTCTGCTTGAACCAAAAACAGTGTCATATTTTTTTTCATGCAATTTATTATCTCAGAAAGGCCTTCATTATTTTGTAACAACATTCAATATTTTTTCTTTATACTGGATACATATATGCTTACAAAAATTTTGTTCTCAAATTAATTTTAAGAGAATAAGTTAACTGATGAGGTGAAGACAAATTATCTTCTAGTGGGGATCATGTAACTGACAGTAGGAAAGTATCTGATTATTAATTAATTTATTTATTTATTACACTGATAAGAGATCCCTTGATAAATACAATTACCGTGGTAATACATAAATCATGTCTGACTTACAGGATTAAACCCCTTAAGGAGGTATGTATTCTACATAGAATTTTTTAATATTTTGTTAACATTCTTTTTTTTGAAAAAGGAACTACATGACTTTTTAGTATGTATATTAATTACATATTTATTTATGTCATGTTACGACATTAATCATTGCTAATGTTATGACATTAATGACCTTCATTGCATGATTTTTTCAAGTTTAAAAAGGATGCATCTTTAAATTCTCACAAATTAATAATACTAATAAGTAAATAATAAGCAACTATTTTGTATATGAAAAATAATATAACCTTGTAAATTTGACACAGCATAAAACGGTAGTTACTAAAGATAAGAAATGTTTCCAATTATTATTATTTATATTTAGCGAAATGTGATATTAGAGTGTATTATTTTATGCAATATACTTGCCACAGCATATAACAAATGGTTTAAATAATTTATGTATGTAATAATTAAATAATGAAAGTTACAGAATAATCAGAATTACAGGTCGTTTAGTATGGTTCCTTAAAAATGAGTTGTACTAAAAATTTTTGATAGTTTACTTATCAAAATATATAATTATCGAAAAAATTGAGAGTCGAATTTTCTTCTTAATTAATATGTACAATACACCTATGATATAAATTAGAATGAAAAGGAAACAATTGATTTCTTATCATAATTGATATCTATTATTAATGTGACAATGAGATAATTAGAATTTTTGTTTTAGGTGAATCACGTGTCATTAATTTTACTATTAGTGTTAAAATTTTACGTGAGAAATGAATGAATGGCTTTTGAAGATTTGGAGTTAGAGATTTCGAAATTTAGAGAATTGAAAAATTGAAAATTAAGAATTTATCAATTTGATAATTGGCAAATTTAGGAAGCCGAAAATTAGGAAATTTGAAAAATTAAACACTTGGAAATTTGACGGTTCGAAAATTTGGAAGGGTGAACAGTAGGAATAAAAAAATTTAAGAATTTACAAATTTCAGGGATTAAAAATTAGAAGCTTGGAAATTTCAATGTTTAAAAATTTTAAATTGGGGTTAAAAATTTGGGAGGTCAAGAATTTGAAAATTAAAAAAATAAAAAGTTTGAAAATTTGGAATTTAAAAATAAAGATCTAGAAGTTCAGATATTTGGAAAATTACAAATTTGAAAATTTGAAAATTGAAGTAAGGGAAATACAAGCTTAGTTATTTGGGAACTCAAATTTGAAATTTGAAAATGTAGAAATTTGGGATTTTAAAAAGTAAAAATTTTAAAATATATTACTTTCTAAATTTATAATTTCAAATATAAGTTATACATATAAGGTATTCTTGCTCTGGGTCAAACATACCTCTATTATGTGACTCTTAAACCACTAATATTAGAAGTACAGTAATAATAATATTAATTGAAAGACAATTAAATGAACTATATTTATCTTTACAATAATGCTACCATTTCATGCTACCTTGAATTTGTATAAATTGCATTGTATAACTGAGATAATAACTATTATAAACTAGAATTTCAATATTCATTATTAATTTCTTGTATTAGCATTGAAACAAAGAGATTTTTTAACAACTACCTAGATTAGAAATAATTAGATTAAAAATAAAATAAAAAATAGATTAAAATAAAATAAGTCAATTATGAAAGTATACATAAGATATTCTTTGATATTTCTTCGTACACATTTCGAAAAATTTTCTTAACAATTCTATTCTTTAATTATTTCTGTTTATTCAAATTGCTCAAAATAATTTCATTTTACATTCTAAACTAGTGACAATTTATCTACGTACTAATAAATGTATATTTGTTATTAATAAATAACTTATTATTTATTGCATAACATTTATTATTATTTATTGAACAATAAATAATATATTATTTATAATAAATAATTTTAACTAGTGCCATGATCTTTATACAATGTTGGCACTTGACGCAGATTCAGGGGCTGATTTCCAAATTTACAATTTGTAAGTATGTACACACACAAACCATCTTTGAGAAATTTACAAATTTAATAGCTTTATTAGCTATAAAATACGTTTAAATAATATATAATATAAATATTATTATGTAACTATATATAAATATTACAATATGAATATTTAAATAATTGTATTAAAGCATGCCTAATGGCAAAGTAGTTTCGAGATCCTACAGTTACACACTCTGATCCAGTCACGTGTTTATAACCCTAACCTTCAGTAAACGCTGTTTTACAATTAGTCAATAACGCGTACGCACCCAACTTATAATTGAGTTAGTAAAACTCTATTA